TAACATTTTTTTCATTAATTTTTACTTTTTTAAGAAAGATAAATTTGTAGTAAAATTATTAATAACTTTATTGGTTTTTATTATAGACATTGTTTTTATGACTTAAAAATTATTCTTATACAATCATGGTCTACATTTGATCTCGAATCAAGTATACATACATAAGATCAAGGGTGCATATAGGTAGGATCAAAGAAGCATAGTGGTATGCACCCATGATCCTAATTGAGCATTCTTAGTTTTTATAATTTTAAATCTACTTAAAATATTCTGGTAAAAAAATGATAATTGAATTATAATAAGGTATAAAATTTGCTATTATGTACTGTTATTTTAGAGATTGAAATAAAAACATATATTCAGTAAGTTGGCCTGATAGATTTTTAGGATCATGGGTGCATACTCTCCCCTACTATTCTTACTTAAATCTATATTCATCGATGAATTTTAAAATTCACACAAAAATATTTTAGTGTTCAAAAATTATGGCCATAAAAAGTTTGAACCCCTCCTCAATTTTAAGGGGTTGCAAATTTTATAAAGCCATAATTATTGAACACTAAAAGGTTATTGAGTGAGTTTTAAAATTTATATATATGTATATATATATATATATATATATATATATATATATATATATATATATATATATATATATATATATATATATATATTAAGAGCCTTTCTTCTTTTTTAAAAATATGCAAGGTTATTACTGGGGCACTTTACTTTTAGATTATAAAATTATATTTTTACACATTATTTACAAATATAATATTAAAAACTATATTCTCACATTACCATTATTAAAATGCCCCATTCTGTTAAAAAAAAAAAAAAAAAAAATCTTTATTTTATTAAATCTTGATAATAAATACACAAAATCTGAAAAAAATCAACTCAAAAAACAAAAGCGTTTGCCAATATAACATATGCAACATAGCATTTTATATACAAAGAATGATAACACTAAACCGGTGTTGTTGGCACTGTACCATGGTGCTTAACATATAATTTTTCAGGAGCCAAAATGAATAATATGTCCACTCATTCGCATGAAGTTAACGGAAAAGTAGCAAGTAAATTTTTAATGTTTTCACAAGCAACAAAAATTATCACTTTTAACAACTCTGTAATATTAAAATTGAAATTACCATTTTAAATTTAACCAAAAGGCTTTGCATAAATGAGGCTGACATGGTATAATTTTTCAGGAGCCAAAATGAATGTCCAATCATTCGCATGAAGTTAACGGAAAAGTTACATGGCACGGGAATTCAGTAGATCTGTTCCATAAAAGTCACTAAAAGATATGATGAAGCCTTTCTAGTGTTATGTTAAAATTAAACTTCTGATATTATTTTTGTAGGAACCAGCAAAGTTCTTGTAAAGTCTCCAAAATAAAAGTAAACTTTTTCCACCTAACGTGTTCTGCAAAAACGTTTTATTTGTTTTTTAAACAGCCAACAGAAACTTTCAATAAGCTCCTCTAACATATTGTTGCCTGGTACGTACAAGTTTAAAAAGTATAATACCTCATTAAAGTGTGCCGAAAAAGATACTCGACATATTGCAAAATATGACATAGTGCCAAAAAGATACTTAAGATATTGCACTTTGAATGATGCACAAATAGCTAAATTAAGTCTATGACTATTGCAATGAGCATATGTAGATTTTTAATTTAGATTTAAAATACAGAAGGACAAAGCTTTGTGATCATCAATCGCTCTAGCACCATCATATCAATCAACTGATAATATCAATGAACCCAGGGCCGGCATGAGTAGGTGTCACGTAGGAGGGGGGGGGGCATTACAATTTTTGCCGACAAAAAAAAAGGTCTTTGTTTTTTAAAATTTGCCGACTGCCATAACAACATTGGCCGAATTTCTAAATTTGAATTCTATAAATGAAGTGAATTTCTAAATTTACCGACTAACTTGTCGAAAGGGTCTACATTTGCCGACTAACTAGTCAAAAAGGGTAAAATTTGCTATAAAAATTGTTATAAGTAAAAATTATTATCTTGCTTTTATAACAAAAAAATTATTATCTTGCTTTTATAACAAAAAAATAAAAAAATTTAGGAATGTTTTTTCATCATTTTTTTCTTAAGTGTTTATATAACGAGAATAAAACTTAAATCTAATTTACTTGACGGTTAAGTAAATAATGATTTTTATACGCAATATAAATATTCGCCGTGGATAGAGTATCAAAAGTTTTAACTTTTAATAGCGCGTTCATTGGTTGTTAAAGGTCACGTGTAAAAAAAATCTAGAGAGTTTATTTAAAAACTTTCGATACTCTATTCACGGCCTAAAATATTTTATCAATTTTTTTTTTAGATTTAATTTTATTTTTAGGTACGTTTACAGACGTACTAGACGTACCCTAGATCCGCCCCTGAGAACAAAGTAAAACATAATATAGTTATACAGGTATTTAATTTTATAAAAAGAATGCAGAAACTTGCAGAAGACCGTCAGGTCTTGTCATCGAGAACCGCTCGTATTTTACTATCTCAATAAATCATATTCAAATATAGTTGTATATCTCTATAAAAACTTTACAGCATAAATACATCAAATATTACATGAAATTATTAAACGTTTAAAAATATAAAAATATAACATCCAGAGACAAAATTATTTCTTTAAGTTTATTTTTAAATAAGAGGTAAATCCATTCTAGAGAAAAATCAAAATGTTTTAAAACTATTTTATTCAAGAAAAGCTCCGCGAATTGCAATATTTGTGTTTCCAAAACTAGTTTGATTAAAAGGTTGCCGAACTAAATTGTCATTTCTCATATTGTATTTATTTTTATCTTTCAAGGTATAAAAATTATGGAAAGAAACTGGGGAGTAATTTATTTTACATTTGTACATAAAACAAAGAGTATTAAAAACATTGAGCTGAAATATATTAAAAATTTTCATTTCAGATAAAAGAGGCCTGGCATGAGTAAATCTGTCTTTAAAATTGATAAGACGAGCAACATGCTTCTGCTGACGATAAAGAGGTTTTAGTTTACTTTTATTGGCATTACACCAAGCAATATTTGCATAGTTTAAATGACAATGGATAAAAGGAAAATATAATTGTGTTAAACTTTGTTTATTTAAGGCATTTCTAGCCTTATATATTACTCCTATACTTTTAGCAATTTTTTTGTACAAAAATTTAGTGTGGTATTTCCAGCTAAGATTTTCATTAACATAGGCACCTAAAAAGTTAGTTTTTTTTTTTTATTTGAATTTTTTCTATAAAAAGTAAGGGCAAATTAGGAGGAAGAGATACCACTTTTAATTATACCTTTTTTGAGCGATTAATTAAAAATATCGGTTGTTATAATAAAGTAGCCGATGTTGCAGTTATTCTTGTTGGTTTATTAATTATAGAAAATGCGCCATGTTCAAATACATCGTTAATTTTATAATGAGTTTTTTATTGAAAACAGTTCAAATAAGTCTCACCTATTAAGTAGTATAATTTATTTTCATAAATGCTTTTACTTAAAATATCATTTAAAAATATATTAAAGTTTTCACTTTGACAAGAGAGTGGTCGATAGCAGCAACTTACAACTAAATTTTTGTGTTTTAAGGTTTCAATTTCAATTGTTAAAACCTCTTTATTGTCGTCAGAATTACTCATATCAGGCCTGATAATATACCTCAAGCATTGTTTTATATAGATTACTAAACCACCGCCTCGCTTTTTGTTTTGACGTTTTAAAGAAATTTTTTAAAAACCTGTTAAACAGGTGTTTGTATTAGAATTTGCGTTACCTGTGCTGCACCAAGTTTCTGACATACAAATTAAACTAAAAGTACTAAGAGATTCTTTCATGTTTATGCAAAAATTTTCAAAATTTTTTGAAAAGCTTCTTATATTAATATGTAAAGTGTTAAAATTATTAGAATTAAGAAGTTCTTTTATTTCATTGGAATAATAATAAGGGCAGCTGCTTTGAACAGAAAGTAATTTAAATCCGGATCGGATTCATGGTTTAGTAAAAAGTCATCAGCTTGAAAAAATTAAATAATTTTAAATCAAAATTGCTATTGTTATTCGAATCCATTTTAATTTTTTTTTATTATTAGATCTAATTAAATAAAAGAAATTCTTTTAGAAATCACGCGTTATTAGTTTGTTATAAATAACTTTAGCATACTAACTTTTTTGTCTTAGTTCTTTAGCGTCTGTAAACAACTTTTTCCGTAGCGTTCTTGTTCTTTCACGTAAATCTTCGTTTACAAAAATGCGTTGATTTCAGAGTTTCAATTTAATATTTTTATCAAGAATAGCTGTTTTGTCTTTAAAATTTAAAAATTTCACAACGACGGTTCTTTTTTTTTTTTAATTTCAACTTTGTCAATTTTTCCCACTCGATGCGCCCGTTCAATGACAAAATTATCATCTAATTCGAGTTTTGTTTCCATAATTTGTTTAACTTTCTTTTCACAATCTTCCCAACTTTCGTTTTCATATTCTTCAATTTCGTTTATTTTTAAATTGTTACGCCTATTTCTATCTTCGAGCTCTGCCAATTTATCTTTCATGGTTTCTGTTACAATATTTTCTAAGTTGCTCGAAATTTTGTGTTCAGCCTTTGATTCAAGTTCAACTAATTCTTTATCGTATTTATCGCTTATAAAATCTACACTTTTTTTTAATTCACTAATTTCTAGTTTAAGAGCCTTATTTTCATTGAATTCACTTTGTTCTCCAAATTTTCTATTTTTTCATTAAAATTTTTAATAATTGTACTGTCGTGCATTTCTAAAATTTTTTTCAATTGAGCTATAGTAAAACGACGTCTAAAGGGAGAAAACCTTGCAGTGAGGTATGACAAAATTATTCATTTAAAAAACGCGGTAAAATACTCAATCAAAGTTCCAAAGTAAAAGTAATGCACTTTTTATTTATTTAACTTTCCTTTTTTTTTTTTTTTTTTTTTTTAATTTTTCATTTGTTGGTCGTATTACAACT